GTTGACAGTGCAACTCCTTACCCACTGGGGCAACAGAGGTAATGGGTTAGAGTCTGAAGTTTTTTTCCTCCTTACAAATGTAATCATCACATCCTTTTTCTATTTTGTTACGTTGGTCATCCTCATTATACCCAGTGTTGGGTACCTGATATTGGTATATATTGCCAGTCATTTGCATTTTTTGGTCAGACTTGGAAACCCCATCAGGCTCTGTCCTTTAGTGTAGGAATCAACTTGATGGCAAAGGGCTTAGAAAGTTTTAAAAATCTTTAGTGCTTTAAGATCATCTTTTCAACACATTTTGTTGATACTATGCTGGTAAAAGAAAAATTTCATAAACCTCAGTACCTACTCCTCCCTGTCCGTTTTGTTGTTATGTGCTGTCAAGTACAACTCACAGCAACCCTGAGCAACAGACTTAAATTCTTTTCTATCCTGTGCCATCCTCATCCTCTCTCACACACCTGAGCCCATCGCTGCAATCACTGTCAGTCCATCTTGAGGGGAGTCTTTCTGTCTTTCGTTCACCCTCTGCTTTTCTGAGCATGACATCTCTTCCAAGGAATATCTTCTTCTAGCAACATGCCCAAAGTATGTGAGATGAAGCTTCACAGTTAGTGCCTCCAGGCAGCACTCTGGATACCTTTTTCTAAGGCATACCTGTTCATCTTTTTGCTAGTTCATGAGATATTCAGTGCTCTTCTCCAAAACCACACCTCAAAGACATCAATTCTTCTTCTGTCATCCTTATTCATTGTCTAGCTTTCAGATGCTTAGCAAGTGATTGAAAAGACTGTGGTCTCAATCAGGCTTACCTGGGTCTTCAAACTGACATGATTGTTCTTCAGTATTTTGGAGAGGTCCCTGGCAGCACACTTGCGGGTTCTAAGGATGTTAACTGTATATCCAAGTACTATGAAATCATTGACAGTTTCAGCCCTTTCTCCATCTATCATGATGTTGCCTCTTGGCCCTGTGGTAAGGACCTTTATTTTATTTTTCTTTTTTTTATTATTAAATTTTATTCGTTTTAATGAACATTTACAGGGATTTTGGGTTTTCATTCCTTCATTGCTGCACCATTCTCTCTACCCTCCTCCCCAGTTTGTTCTTCTTCCCCGCCATCCGAGTGTCTGTTTTAATTGTCCAATTGCCACAGTGCTTCTCAAAGTCAGTTCTGATTAATCTCCTTTGTCGGTGTGTCCTTTGCCATTCCCTATCACTCCTCCCTGAGAGAGACTTCACCCTGATTCATAAGGAAAAGGGGATGGCGTATTCTCTTAGCTACTTCCTGCTGAAAAGGGACACCGTGGGTTTCAGGGTGAAGATCTTCTCTCACTACTCTAAAGGGCCCCTTTGGCAGTAGGAAACACATAGACTATTATGGAGATTGATTTTGGAATTTAGATGCACTCTTATTGATTGTGCTTGGCCGTACATGTTCATATCCTTGAAGATGTATCATGGGGGTGTTGCAACCTAGAAGACACAAATTTGACTAACAAGTTATAAGTACATGAGTCAAAAATTATGGAAAAGTAAAAGAAAGGATTCTTTCATTGTTTTGCAAACCCTCCCCCAGGTCCCCTCCACCATGTAGCCCTCGCTCTAGACTCCTGTGATGACAGAAATACCTAGTCACATATCTCTTTTAAACAGTTTTCTCCCTCCTCTGTTTCAGTGCAGTATACATTATTGAACCCGTCTTACTCCGTCCCTCCCCAACGCCAAGGACAGTCCCATTCTACAACAGTGGCATCATGTAATATTTGTGCTTTTGTGACTGGGATATTTCACTCAGCATAATGTTCTCCAGAGTCAACCATTTTGAATAATATTGCATGAGTTCCTTGTTTTTTAATGCAGCATAGTATTCCATCGTGTGAATATACCACAGCTTCTCTAGCCATTCGTTTGTTGATGGGCACTTAGGTTGTTTCCAACTCCTTGCTATTGTGAACAAAGCTGCAATAAACATGGGTGTGCATATATCTGCTTGGATGTCAGCTATGGTCTCTTCAGGGTATATTCCCAGTAGTGGAATTGCTGGGTCAAATGGTATCTCTATTTGCAACTTTTTGAGAAAGCGCCATACTGCTTTCCACAGGGGTTGCACCATTTTACACTCCCACCAACAGTGAATCAGGGTTCCAGTTTCTCCACAACCTCACCAGCATTTGTTGCTTGCGGACCTTTATTTTCTTGATGTTGAGATGTAGTTTATATTGAAGGCTATAGTCCTTGATTATCTGCAGCGAGAGTTTCAAGTCCACCTCACTTTTAGCAAGCATAGTTGTGTCATCTGCATCAGGCATGTTAAATGAGCCCTCCTCCTGTCTTAACGTTGCATTCCTCTTCATAGAGTCCAGCTTCACACCTAATTTGCTGGCATATAGATTAAATAGGTATGGAGAAAGGATACAACCCTGACACATACCCTTCCTGATTGGAAGCCATGCAGTGTTCCCTTTTTCTGTCTGGACAACAGCCTCTTGGTCTAGATATAGATTTTGTGTAAGCACAATAAAGTGTTTAAGCTTCGTATTCTTCTCAGTGCCATAGTTTTTATGCATATGCTAGGTATTTTGAATTGTTACGTTCAAAATTAATCAATACCTAAACATAAAATCTGAAAGAGAAAATCTTTAAGGTTTAAGAGCAAAGCAAAGATTTTTAAGGGAAAACGCAAGGAAAAATGATAATTAGGTTTTATTGTATTAAAAACTGTGTTCTTCTAAAGTTATTGTTATAAAACCAGATAGGAGCTGCTTTTCCTATCACAGTAGTGAGTTAGGGCATATGCACTTGTCAGACCTACCAAAGTATACATTCACTTTACATGAATATATTTTCTCTTCTTTAAACTGTATCTTAATGAAGCTGTTTTTAAAATAAGCAGTGGCCCAGATCAGACAGTAGGCCAATTAAGTTGAAATCTCTAGGGTAATTCCAGTGAGCAACCAGGTTGAGAACCAGCACTGCAGTGTGGGCGGAGTGTGTATGTAATGCTTATCTGTTTGTCCATCCATCTGTCTGTGTTGATTTAGACTATAAAGTGTTTGCCAAAATTGGGGACTCCGCACCTGCTGGCGGGAGATGGAACCCCGCAGCAGCTGTCCCACAGCCAAGCTTTAGGGACGCTCTTCTGTCTTTTTTTTTGTGTTTGTTTGTTTGACCCTTATTATGTAGACTGTGCCTCACACACACAAATCAACCATTCTAAGTGTACAATTCAGTAAATTAATTATACTAACATGTATAATTTTACCACTATTTCTTTCTGGAACTTTTTTTATCATCAGACACTCAGAACCCGTTAGCAGTAATGCCCCATTCTTCCTTTCCCAAAGAGTCTTTACACTCCTTCCTGTTTCTGTGCATTTGCGTACTTTAGATACTCCCTGTAAGTTGTTGTTTCTGCCCCATCCACATAACCTCCACCCTACTCCAGTCCATTGTGAAAGCCTCTGTGTGAACCTTCACATCAGGGCCTTTCTCCTTTTCGCTGGTCCTCTACTTTCACTAGCGTGTAATCTTTTTCTAAGGAATTTCCCCTCCTTGACAACATGCCCCCCAAGTGTGTGAAACTGAGTTTTACCATCTTTGCTTCTGAAAAGCACCCTGAATACTTGAGTCCAGCATATCATAGTGTTACTAGTGGAATCCTATTTGTCCAGTTGTGTCTGACTTATTTCATTTGAAAATAATCTTTTCAGGGTTCATCTGTGGATAAAATTTCTTAAATTAGGAACTGAGGGGCCATAAACTACTCCCATGTTAAATTTCAGTATATGCAATCCTTACCGTTGAACCAATAAGCAACATCATGATAGATGGAGAAAAGATTGAAATTGTCAATGATTTCATCATACTTGAATCCACAATCAGTATCCTTGGTACCAGCAGTCAGGAGATCAGGACATATATTGTACTGGGCAAGTGTGCTGCCAGGGACCTCTCCAAATTCCCAAGGAGAAGTGGTGTCATTTTAAAGACTAAAGCATACTTGATTCAGGTTATTGTCTTTCCAAACCCTTGCTGTGTGTGAGAAAGCTGGACAAAGAATAAAGAGGTCAAAAAAATCAGTTGTTGCTTTTGAGATGCGATGTTGGAGAAGAGCACTGAATATCCCATGGAATTGCAAAAGAACAAATAGATGTGTCCTGGGGAAAGTGGCAAAGCTCTGACTCAACGTACTTTGGGCATGCTGATAAGAGAGGCTCTTCCTTGGAAAAGAACATCATAATGGGGAAAGTGGAGAGCCAGCAAAAGAAAGGAAGTCCCTCAGCAAGATGGATTGACATGGTGACAGCAGTGATGGGCTCTAGTGTGTCGGAGATTGTGAGTACAGCACAGGGTAGGCCAGGGTTCAGATAGGGTCTGTATGAGTCATACTCCACTCGGTGATACCTAATAATAAACAACCTAATTATTGTCCAACCTGTTACATGTGTCAGGATCTCATCTTTTTTTCCTGTCTGAATAATAATATTCCATTCTTTTATTTAATGACTTATTTCTTTGTCTTTAAGGAGCCCTGGTGGTAAAGTGTGTTATAATCGCATCACTAACCCGGAACTTGGTGGTGGTGTTCACCAGCAGCTCCAGGGAAGATGGGCATTCTCCCCCAGGAACGAATTCTCAGGCCTTGGAAGCCTGGTACAAGGTTGCTGGGAGTCAGACTCAACTCGACCATGATGGTTATTGGTTTCATTTGTCCTTCTCTTGCAAACCTTCCTCAGCTGTGTTTGATTGACTAGGTGTAGTGCTTTCCTCACGGGGAGCAGTTTTGTGGGCCCGTCAGCATTGCTTATAACTCAGAGCAACCCTGATGGAGAGAGGAGAACTTCCCCATAGGATTTCCGAACCCATCAGCCTTTACAGGAAGAAACTGCCTCATCTTTCTCCCTTGGAGCAGTTGACAGGTACTGGATTCCACACATCACCAACCTGACAGACACTGCTGAGTCCTGACCGAGGGTCGGTGGGGTCTGTTTCAGAAACCACTCAGATTGAGGATCCTCGAGTGCAGTGGCGGCGGGAGCAGGAGCACATGCTGAAGGATTACCTGGTGGTGGCCCAGGAGGCGCTGAGTGCCCAAAAGGAGATCTACCAAGTGAAGCAGCAGCGCCTGGAGCTGGCTCAGCAGGAGTACCAGCAGCTGCACGCCGTCTGGGAGCACAAACTGGGCTCCCAGGTCAGCTGTGAGTACCTTCCCTTGCCAGTTCCCCTCCCACCACTTCCTGCAGGGAGCAGTGTGGTTGCCTGAGTCCTGCCAGTGCCCTCTCTTAGGACTTCTCACACTTGCCTGTTTTCTCCCTATCTCCAATCCTGCTTCACCCACCATCCTCTCCAGTGTTGTTCTTGCTTCTACCTGTGCCCTGCGATAATTTGCCATTCTGATTTGATTTGAGATCAGCTCAGAATGCTAAACATTTCACACAGCCTCTCATTTAGAGCGTTTCACTGGCTTCTGTTGCTTTTTTTCCGATGGTCTGCACAAGCCTGTGTTTCCACTGCCCACTGCCCCTGCCTTGTCTCAGGGTGGTCTCATGCCCTGGACTCCTGACACTTTGAGCCCTCAACCTGCCCTTCTGGTATACCCCACTCTTTTACACCCTAGAGCCTCTCTGCTTGCTGGTCTCTCTTCCTCGAATGCCTCTCTGTCAGTGAGTTTGTGTGACTGGCTCCTTCCCACTCCCAGCTGTCTTCCTGCTGTCATCTCCTGTGAGAAACCTTCTTCTGACAACTCTATCAAAACCTTCCCGTCCCCAGTGCTAGCCTCCCTCCCGCCTCCCATGCTTGTGCCATAAACATCTTTTATTTTACAGCATTTCTTCCACTAGCATATAAACTTCCATGTTTATACTTGTATCCACAGGATGAGAACCAATTTGCCAGAGTTCCCAGTCCTTCATTCTCAGTGCACTGTAGTGCTGTCAAATGTCATTGTGCACACCATCCTTGTCAAATGCGTTCAGGTTTTTCAGTCTTTCACAATCATTTCTAATAACCAGTCCTTCCTGCATTTGTTGAATTCTTACCATGCATCAGGCACACTGCTAGGCTCTACATATATCTTTGAACCTTTCTAACAGTTCTATAAGGAAAATCCAAGATGTGTGGTTTACAGCCTCCCAAAACCTGCTGGAGGGTCTGCTGTGAGTCAGTTCCAAAAGCATTAAGCTGAGTTTTACAGATAATGACACTGAGCTTTAAAGAAGATTAATCACTTGGCCAGAGTCTTAAAGCTGGCAAATGGTAGTACTAAGATGCAAGTTCAGTTCTCTATCCACCCATCAGTTTTCACTGAGGGCCAGGGGCCGGCATCACACAACACCCTGAGGGTGGCTGTAGCTTGAGCCAATTGACGCATCCTCTGTGTGGCCCTCACTTTGAGAAGATCAGTCATCAAGGAGGACGAGGGCAAACCCTGTTGAGTTGCTCACTAACCCTACTTTGCCCTTTTGATAACCTCCGTCATTCCAGAGAGTACAGAGAAAAAGCCAGATTGCATTCCTTGACTGCTTCTGTGGGTCTAACAGTGTTCCAGGAACTGCCATGAGGGCGTTAGCCCTAATCCTTACCATGGCCTTAAAGGAGAGAGATTGTGATCTCTTGATACTCAGGTTCAGAGAAAGAGAATGTTTTGAGTGATTTTTGTCTCCCCCCTTTTCTAAAGGCCCATAAGGGGGCTCCGGTGGTTTACTCTCGAGGGAGTTGTGCTATGAACCTGTAGGCTGATGCTCTCTGGCAGTTAGGATCCGTCAGCGGCTCACCAGGAGGGTGGGCGATCTCCTTCCATGAATTACAGCCTTGGAAATAGAATGCAGGGTCAGCTAGGGTCCGATCCAACTCGATGGTAATGAATTTTTTTGTATTTGGGGTATTTTTTGTTTTTGAGAAAGTCTTATAAGGGATCCCTGGTGTTGCAGTGATTAAGCACTTGGCTGCCAATGAAAAGGTCAGGTATTCAAACTTCTCCATAAGAACAATTGGTTTCCATAAAGATCTACAGCCTTGGGACTGTGGGACAGTTCTTTTCTGTCCTGCGGGGTCACTGTAAACAGGAATCAGCTCACCAGCAAAGTTTTGGGGGTTGTTTTTTGGTCCCACAGTCAAAAAAAGTGCCAGAAATCAGTGCTTTTCACAAATCTTGCTGTTCTTACAAACAGAATAGTTATAAGAGTTTAAAGTATAAGCCCATAAATAATCTACTCATTTCAAAGTTTTTTTTTTTTTAAAAAAAAATCCAACCCCAACTTTGTGAAGTCTGAAGTCACTTCCTCATGGAGGTGGTAAAAATTAGTACCACCAGTTGTTGGTGGGATTGTAAAATTGTACAGCCACTCTGGGAGGCCATTTGGTATTTACTCAAAGAGCTGAATGTAGAAATTCTGTATGACCCAGCTAGTCCACTGCATGGAATATACCCCAAGAAAATGAGAAGTGAGGCACAGAGACTTGCACACTAATGTTGATAGAACCATTATTCACCATCGCAAGAACATGGAAACAGTCCAAATGTCTAACCACAATCGAATGGCTTGAGAAATTAAGTTACATTCATCCACCCGAAGAAATGGTACACAGCACTCAGGAACTGTAATTTTGTAAATTATACCTAACTTTGGTGGGATTGGAGAGCATAATGCTTAGTGAACTAACTCAGTCCCATAAGAAGAAATACTGTATAAGACCGTAATTGTCAAACATGTGTGAGGATCCAAGGGGAGCAGGAGGATGGGAGCAGAGGGGTAAGAATGGGAGGATTGGGAGGACAGTTAATCACAGGGCCACACAATTTGATGGGGGGGGGGGAAGGGAAAGATCTAGTGTGAAAAACAATGTATAAAAACTTTATAAGTAAACCAGTATAAAATAAAAATTTTATTTAAAATTATCTGTAAGATAATTGACTTGGTTTTGCAAAAAATCAATAATATAAGACCAAAAGGAACTGTTGTAGATGTAAAGTCCAGGGAGGCACAACAACTAAATTATTTTGTGTTTTGTTTGTACCTAAACTAGATCCTGCCTGATGAAGGGGGATGAGGGTGGGATACTCTGCCAGACAATAAAGATTTTTCTTAGGAGTGATTATGGTGTTGTGGTTCTGTCAAAGAATGTACCTAAATGCTTAAATATTTAGAGGTAAGGTGGTATTGTGCTTGCTTAATTCCATAAAAGATCAAGGGGTTGGGGAAAGGAGCAGAAGAAAGGAAAATTAAAGCTGTGACACAGGCCAAGTAAGCAAGTCCACAGACTGTGGTGAACACATTGATGGTCTTGGGTGTGGTGCATTTTATCACCATTTTGAACAATTATTTATTGAAGGCTTACTATGCACCAAGTACCCTAATGGATGAATATGGGAACCTTCAGAGAATAAAAGAGAACCCCTGGAAAATTAAGGAAGATGGTATGAGTAAAATAACATGGAAAACTTGGACGAGAGAATGGAGAAAAGCTTCCAAAAAAAGGTATGATAAAAAGGTACAATGAGACAGAAAAGGAGATAGAAAATGAGAAGACCAGGTTAGAAAGTCTACTCTTTGAAGAATACAAGTTCCAGGAAAACAGAACCAAGGGCACAGAGAGGAGAGAACCATCAATGAGAAAATGCAGAGCTGTTTCCCTGAACTGAAGGTCGGTATTCAGCACAGAAGAGCTCACAGCGAGCATAACACAATAGATGAACCCAGACTCACACCACAGCCTGTTGTGAAATTTCAAACACTGGGCACAGTGCAAGATCCTAAAAGCTTCCAGAAAGATAAACCAGGTCACACACAAAAATTACCAAGGCTCAGAATAGTTATGAGTATCTCGACAGTAATACGGAAACCTTCAGCATTTTATGGGAAAGTTTTTCCCACCTAGAAACCTATATCCATAAAAGGTACCTAAAGGGCCAAATAGAGAACTTTGGTGACTTAGTGTAAAGGAGCTGCACTGCCAACAGAGGCATGTGGTTCAGATCCACCCGCTGCGTTGCTGGAGAAAGAAGGGCATTCTTCTCTCATTTGATTTACAATTTCTGAAAACTCGCTGGAGGGTCAGCTGTGAGTCAGTTTAGACGTAATGGTACATGAGGACAACAAGAGGGTCTAATAAGTGCCCAGGGTATTGTTAAATATTTATCAAACTAACTGAAAAGTTGGACATGTGTGTTAACTCAGAAGTACCTCACAAGAAAGTCCTGGTGATTTACTTGTAACATATCAACCATTGTAAGCTCAGCAGAGCATAGCTCTACTCTGGCAACTGTTGTTATGTGCCGTCAAGTCATTTGCAACTCATAGAGACCCTGTGTACAACAGCCCTAAACTCAGCTCTATCCTGTGCCAATATCGCACTGTCTCTGACACTCCCATCATGATTATCCGAGTCACTGAATCAATCCACCTCATAGAGGGCCTTCCCCTCCTGCGCTGTCCCTCCACCCTCCCAAGCATGATGTCCTTCTCCAAGGACAGGTCTCTCCTCACAACATGTCCAAAGTATGTTAGACAGAGCCTCAGAATCCTTGCCTCCAAGGAGCCACCCAGTTTAACCCTTTCCAGGATGAATCTGTTTGTTTTCCTAGCAGTCCATGGTACTCTCAATGCTCTTCTCCAGCACCACAGCTCAAAGGCATCAGTTCTCCTTCTATCCTCCTTGGTCATTGTCCAACTCTCTGATGCATAACAAGTGATTGCAAAGACCATGGCCTGTATCAGATGCACCTTAGTCTCCAGAGAGACACCATTGCTCTTCAGTACTTTGGAGAGGTGCCTAACAGCAGACTTTCCCATGGCAATGCACCTTTTAATTTACTGGCTACTGGTGCCGAGAGTGTTGACTGTGGAGCCAAGCAAACTCTGACACCTAGATCAACATAAATTGGAGTAGACCTAAAGGTAGGTAATTGGTTAGGGTTGAGTGAATGAAGATTTGTTTTTCTAGAAATACAAGATTTCAAAAGTTTATTTCCTTTATGATTCTTTTCCTTGGAAGCTAGTCAAAGTTATGTTCTACTAACATGAAGGGTAGAACAAAAAGAATACATGATACGCAGGAGAGAAGAGGGAGCGGTGAAAATGCCTGGAATAATGTGAAGGGGGAATCACCGTGCAGTCGTGGTGTGTGAGGGCAGCCAACTCAAGCAGAAGTCGTTGGAAACCCTTGTGAAATTAATCCAAAAGCCCCAGTCCAAACCTCCAGGAACCCTACCAGGCTAGTCTACATGAGAGGAGATACAGTTGAATTTATGATAAGTTAGTAGAAATCAAGCAAATAAAAGTGACAGTTATTCATTCTAGAGGAAAGAAGAAAAGTAAGCTGGAATGGAAAAATGATAAAAATGAACTCTTAACTTTGCACCAAATAGTATTTTATTGTTGTTGTTGTTGTTATGTGCCATTGAGTCACCTGCAACTCATAGTATTTACAGAGTTGAAATAATGAAAGCACTATTACTCCCAACAAAATGATGCAACATATCTCAAAAGGATGGAGGACAGAAAGATGAAGTGTGTAGCATAAGAGCTGGGGAAGAAAGGGAAGCTGAGTCCTTATCCTCCTGAGAAGGATGAGTAAATAATGCCAACAAGTGAAAATATCAAGAAGCAGAAAAAAGCAAATGTTATTAGAGCCACAGAGAGAGGCACTCTGGAAATTGGCTGAACAAGTTGTAAGAAGTTCCCCTTTATAGGATGAGATATGAGGCAGAAGCTGGGGAGTGTTCTTTTTTAAAGCAAATCTTATACTATGTTGAGCACTTAAATGGTACTCATATATAATGTACCTCTGACAAATCAACCGCTGTAAACTCAGTGGAGCATGGAGCATAGCTCTACCCTGACATACTTGAGTCGTCATGAATCTGCCAATGCAATGGCAGAGGGCAGAATAAAGATTTCTCTTTATGTAAAAGCAAAATGCATTGTCTTATGATGTTAGTTAATAAAAATAAAAATTTTAAACTGTTGCAAAAAAGTAGATAAGGCAGTCTTTAGCATCCTATTCAGATGGAAAATTTCAGATTAAATGGGCTTGAGAGAAGAAATGGGCTGTCAGCTGACCACCCTAGGGGCCAACTATGTTATGGTTTGAATAGTTTCCTCTTGAGAACTATGTTGAAGTTTTAACCCCTGCACCTATGAATGCGACTTTGGGAATAGAATCTTTGTTTTCTTATGGGTTAAGTTAAGCAAGGCTATACCTAATAGTGGGAGCTCTAGTGGCCTAATGGTTAAGGAGTTGTGAACCCAAAGGTAGGTGGTTCAAATCTGCAAGCTGCTCTGAGGGAGAAAGGCAGTTTCTTCCCATGTAGTTTATAGATTCTAAAAACTTGAAGGGTCTGTGAGTTGGTTCTGACTCGAAGACCTTTATCAGCAACAGTACCCTGGTAGGATCCTGATCCCTTCTTACTGGTATTTCATGAAAGAGAAGAACATACATGTAAACAGAGTCACACACCAGGTGTGTTTGTGTGTATGAAGATTTGTCGAGAAGCAAAAAAATGTCAACCATTACTGGCAGCCACTAGAAACCAGGACTGAGGCCTGCAGAAGGAATCAACACAGCCAGTACCTTAATTTGGACTTCTAGTCTCTAGAACTATAAGAGAATAACTGTCTTTTCTTTAAAGCCATCCTCTGTGGGGTATTTTGTTATAGCAGCCCTGGGAAACTAAGACAAACTAAAACTCACAGCACTTGCACAGCCCAACATTTAGTCCCAGGTCGTTAAGTGTCACATTTATCTGACCTGTCATTACATTGGTTTCTTTCATTCTGCACTTCTTTCTCAAATTCTTAATACTGAAAAAATTCTCTGTTCTTGGAAAGAACAAATAGTCCTTTTTTACACATGCTGGTGCTTCAGTCTTAACTGTCATTCATCTGGCAAACTCCTACTTACCTGTTACGACCCATTTCAAATGTTTCCTTCTACAGAGAACCCCCTGTGAGACTGTACTTTCTCACATCCTGATTAGCCCACTTTAAATAATGCTTTTATGTTTCACTCTCCTATCACACATAAACTTGTTCATCTCTGAACTGGAGGAAAAGATAAATGTTTTAAATATCTTTGCTTCTATGATGCTTGGCACTTGTCCCTGACAGGTGATAGTAGCTGACACATTTTGAGCACTTACTGCATACAGTTACAAGCATTGTCACTTGTGCATTCCATAATGAGGCAGAGTGAGGTAGACACTATAGTCTTCATTTCACAGAGGAGGAAACAGCCTCAGAAAGATTAAGTAAACTTACTGACATGCAGTGACTGCAGCAGTGGGCTTGAGGATGTCAGATATGGTGAGGATGGCACAGGCTAGGACCGGGCTCAAATCCGTTGTTCATAGGGTCACTAGGAGTTGCACTCGACTCAATAGCATCTAACAACAGAAACAACAAACATAAGTCAGTAATGAGTGTGTTAGTGACCCAAGGCTACAGTAACACATGACTACACGTGCCTGTTGTAAAACAAAAAATTTATTCTCTTATAGTACCTGAGGTTAGAAGTCTGAATTCACTGTTGGCAGAGCCTTTCATGTGTTTGTATTCATTTTATAAATCTTAAAGTCCTTCTTTTTTTTTTTTTAGTTCAGTAAGTTAATTTTTAAAATAAATGCTGACATTTTGGTTAGCACTGTGTGAGATACATGATTCAACTAACAAAGATGCAGTCATTTCAACAGAACAAGGGAATACTGCACAGTTTAAAGTTAGGAAAGGTGTGCACTGGAGTTGTATCCTTTCATCATCTTTATTAATTCTGTTTGTTGAACATTTAATCCATAAACCTAGAGTCTATAAAGAAGAAAATGGCATATGTGATTTGGAGGAAAACTTATTAACAACCTGCAATGTACAGATGGCACCATCATGATTGCAGAAAACATTAATAACTTAACTGATGAGGCTTAAAGACTATATCCTTTTTTATTAATTCTACCTCAACTTTAAGATGACAAAAATTCTTACAACTGGACTAAAAAAACATCATAGTAAATGGAGAAAACTTTGAATTTGTCAAGGATCATTTAACTTGGACTCACAGCCAGTGTCTATAGACACAACAGTCAAAAGCAAAAAACATGCATTGCTTTGGTCACCTCTCCTGCAAAGGGCCTTTTAAAGTGCTAGAGAGTAAGAATGTCACTTTATGAGGACTAAGATATGCCTGATCTGAGACATAGTGTCTTCAGTTGCTTCACATGCATGAGAAAGTTTGATGATGGAGAGGTAGACTGAAGAATTGATGCCTTTGCGTCGTGGTGTTGGTGAATGATAGTGAATCTACCAGGGACTACCAAAGTCACGAACAAATCTTTCTTGGAAATGCAGTTCCTTAGAAGCAAGGGTGGCAAGACTTTGTCTCACATACTTTGGACATGTTAGCACAAGTGCCCAGTCACTGTTGAAAGACACCATGGTAGAGAGAGAGAGGCAGCGGGGAAAGGAAGACCCTGCAACAGTGGTTTTAAGCACAATAGAGATGGTGAAGACGGCACAGGATCCGGCAGAGTTTTACTCTGTGTATAAGTTGGTGCCAACTCGGTGGCAGTTAATAGCAGCGGTAAAGGATATCTGCCATGATCATTATACTCTTTTGAAATCAGCCTAACTGGAATCAGATTTCCAACAACAGCTCGGAAGGTTAAATAAGAACCCAAGGCTTATGTGAAGAAAGGTTACGTTAATGGGAGAGGAACAACTCAGCAAAGGATAGCAAGAGTGATTGCACACTTGAATCTAACCCTCGGCACTAAACTGTATATGCAGAAACTTGGTGGGTATTTTTACTGTGTATGTTCCCAACAACAATTTAATAAAAAAATCGGAAACCAATTCATTTCCCTCAAGTCAGAACTGTCTCATAGGTGATCTTCCAGCAAGTTTTTCAGTGACTATAAATCACACAGGAGGAAATTGCCCATGCTTCCCCCTCAAAACAGTTGGTAGATTTGAACCTCTGATCTTTGGGTTGGAAGCATAACTCCCTACCCACTGGGCCACCAAAGCATTAAAAAAAAAAATTTTTTTTTAAGAAAATATGTTTAGAACAATTTTCCCTTGTTAAATTTTCTTCACCCTATTTTTTGAAATAAAATTTTATTTTGTACTAGTTTGTTTACAAAGTTCATATATTTCACAGTGGCTCTTTCCCATTGCCTTTACCCACCCCTCCCTCTGCCTGCACTGTAGTTTTAAATGACATGCTTTGTAGAGTCTCTATTTGAGTCATTTACCATATTTGTATAACATTGCCCTTCGCTCACAACCAATACCTCCTGGACTTGTTTAAATAGTAAAATAAACCAACTTTGACAACGTGTGTTTCTTCTACTCTAATGAAACCTCCCCCCGCCCCCTTTCTCAATGCAGTGGTGTCTGGTTCATCGTCCAGTTCTAAGTATGATCCTGAAATCCTGAAAGCTGAAATCGCCACTGCGAAGTCCCGGGTATGTCCTCTTCAGCAGTACCATTGATGGGGTCACCGAGGCAGTCTTGGGCCACTAGCCCACCAGAAGGTCACAGTAGCTCCTTTGACGGCACATGGCATCCAGTGCTGATGATAAAGCCTTAAATATTAACAGTAGTGGCAATATTAATAGCAGTTATAATTGCATAAGCAGTAGTGTATTATCAGTAATTTGGATCTTGTTTCGTTAAATGCCAGGTAAATGTCACAAATTCAGAGGTCTACAAAGAAAACAATTGGAGGAAGTGGCCTGGGTATGAGGAAGCAGGAGTAGTGGGGTCTGTGTAACCTAGAGAGAGGTGCACTATCTGAAAGGGTAGTTGAATTCAGCTCTGGACTCTTATGGTCATGCTGGAATGTGAACTCAGTGTGGCCAGATTTTCAGATTATTTTTTTTTAAAGAAAGCAGCTGTGTATGTGGGCTTATTATATGAAATCTCTCAATATTTAATTTCTAGCAAATAATTATTTGCCAAAAGTAACACTGGACAGGCCAAACAAAATCATTACTGTAATCTGGATCTGGGTCATGAGTCCTCTTTGGGAAAGTGCTTCCTAGACCATGTCTAGCGTCTAAAGTTATTGTACTGTTTCTCATCTGTAGGTAAAAAGCTCTCTCTCCTAAGCCTGTTAGCTTTAGGTAGTGTGCAACCCTAAGACTACCATTAGCCTCATCAGTTAGGGCAGGGCAGGAAGGTTCAGAAAGGCAAGATGGCTTGAAAGATGTCACCCAGCCAGGAAGTGAGACGGGCACACTATCTCCCAGTTAGCCCATTCCCTTCCACTGTCTCCCTGGAGCTAGCTAGGAGGACCTGCAAGAAAAGTTGAGCTATGTTACTGACTGAATGAATAGCTACACAGACCAAGGCCAGCACTGGTGAGGCGAGGATGCTGTGATTAATATGACACAAAGTATGCTTACTTGGGTCCCTCTGGTGTCTATGGGCCATGAGGAACTCTGGATTTCTGGTCTGTTTGCTCCTTTGGGGAAGAAGATAGCTTGCAGCCCAACTCAGCCGTGTGTGTGGTCTTCTGCCCAGGTCAACAAGCTGAAGAGAGAGATGGTTCATCTCCAGCAGGAGCTACAGTTCAAGGAGCGTGGCTTCCAGACCCTGCAGAAGTAAGTCTGCCCTGTGGAGGGAACAGGGAGCTGCCCTCTCTGTCTCTTCCTTCCCTATGGAAATGGGGTCCTCTAATTGGTTGGTTCCAGTTCTTTTCCACTGCAGTTTACTAAGAAATACTATTACCCAAGGTTAGAATTTGAATAGAAGAGGAAACTTTCCTACCTCCTCTCAACTTCTAAAGCTCTTAGGGTCTGTTCTATTGTTGGATTTTTCTTCCTAGTCATAGAGATAAATTTTCTTTATCCCTGTGCACCCGTCACCTTTCCTCAGGAACATTCAGTAGAGACTTATATGTAGACAAACGAACAAAATAACCATTTTCCCCTTGACCTTAAAGTGGACAGCCACTTCCTCTAGAGTACACAAAAGGAATAGTGATCTATTACGGCATGAAGGAAATACCAGATAGGTACTCCCAGCACCGCACACACTGCATTCTAAGGCACACTTACAGAATTTCCAGGAGAACTTTAATAGTGTTCACTTTCAAAAGTTCTTTTACATAGGTAAGTGAAGGAAGATACAGTTCCAGTCTATGCTGAGAGCGGAAGAATGAGTTGTCATGATTGTGATTGATTACAGCTGCTAGGATTTGTCGAGCAGGTTTCAGTGCCAGGAAACACAATTGGTGATACTCTGTAGATATTCCCACCTGATCCTCAGAGAGGTTTATGAGGAATGTGTGCTGGTTTGCTTTTTAATTGTGTCCTCCAATTTCTGGTAATGGAATAGCTTCTGAGCACATAGTTGCACGATAATTCCCTGCCCATGTGTGTTCCCTTCCCCCACTCCCCCTCAAGAATTTCTAGTGAAAAGACTTCCCATTATTCTCAGAGCCACCGCAAACCTGTTTTACCTCTTTGTCATGCTGTAGCAGCATTGAAAATTCTTGTCGTTTGGTAAGCTGATGCCGAAACCCCAAATACAAGCCTCTTTTTTTCTCCCTGGGCCCATGTTTGATATCAGGCCCAGATAAGACTCCATTGTAGCTCTGACAGCCCAGTACCTTAGTCGGAAGCCTGGCTGTGGTTTGGGGAGGAGCAGGGTGTCCATTTGAATGCAGACAGGTGTCACCAAGCATTAGATATGTGGCTTCAAGAGGCAGAGGACTTAGGTTCAAATGCCACTTCTCCGGGACCTTAAAAAAAGTGAAAGTACTTCTAACCTTCAGATTTTTTGTCTGAAAAATGAAGTGTCTGTAAAGATTAAATTGGGAAATCCATGTCAAGTACATGACAGTATATGGCACGCACAGTACAAGATTAGTAAGTGCAGCTTGAGGTGATGACCTGTAGCTCACTGCCTGCCTAGACATGGAAAGGGAACTCAGGTAAACTGTATGTGTGCCTTGAGCTAGACTTTGTACTGGGTAAAGACTTAGGCCAGTTCCTTCATTTCATCATCTTTATCCCCTTGCAAAGAGTAAAGATCTGCCCCACGTTATAGATGAAGTTAGTGACAGTGTCAAAAATATACCCAAGACCCCAGCTAATAAATGTCAGAACTGGTATTAGAAACAAGGACGGCTGGATTTTGAAGCTGTTCTAATAGTTCCTTCCTGATAAGCAGAGAACCCTTAGGTACCCAGAAACATAAGGCCTTTTTTCTTCTTCTTAGGGATCCTTCCTTTTCAGGGTCTAGGAGAAGATAGGGGATTTTTAGTGGCTTAGTGAGGATGGGGTTGACAACCCAAAAGCAGGTGATACAATGCACTAGCTGCTCTTTGAGAGAAAGATGGGAAATCTCCTTCCCTGCAACTTATAGCCTATGAAAAACCCATGGCAGGGTCGGCTATGAGTCACTCCCAACTCCGTAGCTAGATGATGATAACGAAGATGATGAAGCTGACTGATTCCTAATGATCCTGTGAACAACCGATCTTGACCTTGCCCTCTCTTGCACCATCCTCATCATCCGTGTCACACTCAAGCTCATGTGGTAGTCACAGTGTCAGTCTATTTCTTTTGAGCATCTTTCTCTCTTTCACTGGTTCTCTATCTCTCCCAGCATGAGATCTTTCTCCAAGGTGTGTCTTCTGAGAATATGCCCAAAGTGAGTCTAAGTTTCCCTTACTTAGTCACTCCTGCTTCTTATACTTCTCTCCTTGCAGAACACTGAGCATGAGATGGGAGGGATACAGGTTCATCTGTTTCTTCTATTCCTGGTTTATCAAACCCCAGTTTGTGAAGGGAGGCAGGAAAGGCTAAGGAGAGGGAGAAAAGAAGAAGGAAGGAAGGTTAATAAGGCTAGAAGAGGAGCCCTTAAAAAGATGAGAAAGAATCATCACCACAGAAAGCTCAGAGTTTTGGCCCATCAGCATTGTGAACCCTTGTAAATAGGAGAGTTTGGGGCTTGGTATTTTGTCATTGTGGGAGAAGGCAGCTTGGCATCTTTCTTCACCACAGAAGCTGTTCTGCTCAGGTAAGAGCTGCCTGGACAAGACAGAGGAGCTGAGGCTGCAAAGCCTGTGCCCTGCTTCCTGGCAGCTGTCTGTGGTGCCCAGACATGTGGATCACCCAGGTTCTGAGAAAGGACAGCTGCATGACTTGGAAATACTAAAGCGCATGCATATCCCCTCCTTCCCCTCTCTCTCTCTCACACACACACATAAGCACACATATACACACACTTAACTCTTTCTTTAAAAAAAAAAACAACATTCATTCACAGAGCACATAATGGTGACCCTTTGTTCTCTGTCCCTGCTTCGGCCCAAGTGTTCCCTCTCAGGGCTGCTCTCCGGAGCCAAATTCCAGAGCCTGGTTGCCAAGGCCCCTGAGAGAAATCAGGTAGAGCCTAGTGAAGAAGCTTGGGCCCAGCAGACAAGCTGCTTCTGTCCCATCCTGTTGGCAGAGGGCAGCCGGGTGCAGACCCCTCTCCCGAGTTCCCAGTCCCTGGACATGCTCCAGCAAGTGATATCTGTCCCCTCTCTTCAGTGGGGACCAGGCCACCTGCTGTCCCAGCAGCACTTGTTCTGGGGGGGGTCTTGGTTTCCGCCCAGCACCTTCAGCAGCACTATGCTGGGCAGAGCTCTGAGAAGACGGTTTCTCTGTCTAAATCTGAGACCCATCCCAGCCGACCTGGCAGGCATGCCCAGGCCCACGTCCTCAAAGGGAATAGAAAGGCTATTTTTAGTGGGGAGACATAAGCGGGGCTTTGTTTGCTCTCCACGGAGGCTGAAATAACGAAGGGGGAGGGCTGTGTGGAGACCACGCTCCTTCCTTCTCGTCTGTTTGGCGGCACAGATAATGAGACCATGATGGAGCCTGCCCCTGCCACCCAGTGATGCCCCACGCAGGGTATTTTTAGCCCAGGACAATTTGGCCTCGAGCACAAAAACAGAAAGGAATGCCTGTGAGGGATTTATCATCCTTAATTAATGAGTTTGTGGTGTTCCCTCAGATAGTAAAGCTCCCCTTTCTTCACCATAGACTAGACCACAGGCCTAGGCTTTAGCAAAAATGTGAAGCAGTTCAAACTGGTCTTTGCCCTTGTAACCTTTTCCACACCACAGCTCTGCCTTCCTAGAGGCTCTGGGTCCTCCCCTCCCCGCCATCTCCAGCTTGATCTGATCTCAAAGCTACATCCAGACCCTTCACTCCGTGTCACCGTTTTCTCTCCATCAGAACCAACCTGTATGTGTTGTCTTGTTGTTGTTGGCTAACTTTAAGTAGACCCTTAACTCATGGAAGCCTTATCCACAATGAAATAAACCACTGCTTAATCTAAGTCTTTCTTTATTCCTAGTTCCTTCTAGTCTGGAAGGTCCGTTGAAACCTGTTCAGCATCACAGAAACACATACGCTTCCACTGATAGAGGAGGGGGTGGCTGTGCGTGAAGTGCATTTATCGGGAATCAAACCTGGGTCTCCCACATGCAGGGCAACAATTCTGTCACTGAACCACCAATACCCCTGATCCTGTATGTAGGTCTGGATAAGCCAAAACACTCTCCAAGCCACAATTTTGTTGTTGTTGTTGTTGACTGCCTTCAAGTTGAGCACGACTCATAGTGACCCTGTGAACAAAAGGCCTGAAGCCCCTCTAAAACTACTGACATTTATCAAAGTCCATAGAGTTTCCAGAGGCATGTTATTTAGGAAGTGGATGCCACTCCTGCTTCCAAACCTGTCATAGTATTTTGTTGTTATGTGCCATTGAGTCGCCTGTGATGTATAGCAACCCTATGTACAGTAGCTCTGAACCCTTTCCTGTCCTGAGCCAGTCTCACTAACTCTGACATGCCAACCCCTATTTGCCCCAGTTACTGAATCAATCCATCTCATCTGGGGTCTCCCTCTCTTGCGCTGTCCGTCCACCCTTCCGAGCATGATGTCCTTCTCCAAGGACTAATCTCTCCTGACCCCGTGCCCAGAGTAAATGAGGCAAAGCTTCAAAGCCCTATCCTCCAAAGAGAGACTTGGCTTTACCCTCTCCAGGACAGACCCATTTGTTCTGGAAAGTCCGTGGTGTATTCAAGACTCTTCTCCTTAACCACAACTTGAAGGCATCTATTCTTCTTCTGTGATCATTAGTCATTGTTCAACTACCTGAGGCATAACAAGTAATTGAGAAGCCCATGGCCTGGATTAGGTGCACCTCTGTACCTAGACTGACATCATTGCTCTTCAGCACTCTGGAGATGTCCATGACAGCAGATTTTCTCAATGCAGTTCTTCTTTTGATTTCCTGACTGCTGGTGTAAAGAGTGTTGATTATGGATCCGAGCAAGCTAACAACCTTGTAATTGCTAACAACCTCAATCTATTATGGTGCTGCCAATTGGCCCAGTAGTGAGAATCTTTGTCTTTTTGATGTTGAGCTTCAGGTCGTCTTCAGTTTCAGCAAGCAAGGTTATGTCATCTGCATATTGTAGGTTTTTAATGAGTCTTCCTTCAGTCTTGATGTGAAACTCCTCATAAAGCCTTGCTTCCCAAATGATCTATTCTGCATACAGATTGAAAAGGTACAGGGACAGGATACATCCCTGACATATTCCTTTCCTGATTTTGAACCATGCAGTGTTTCCTTGCTCTGTTCTGAGGACTGCTTCTTCGTCAAGTATACGTTTCATATAAGCACAATCAAATGTTCTGAGATTCCCATTTTTAGCCACAATTTCTTGTGATCCACACAGTTAAATGCCTTTGCATAGTCAGTGAAACACAGATAGAAATTCTTCTGGTACTCTCTGATTTCTTCCAAGATCCATCTGACTTTGGCAATAATGTCCCTAGGGTCATAACCTCTTCTAAACCCAGCCTGTGTTTCTGGTCATTCTCTGTCAATGTACTGTTTTAAGTCTTTTCTGTATAATCTTCAGCAAGATTTTGCTAGCATGTGATATTAGTGATATTGTTTGATAATTTCCACACTCTGTTAGGTCACCTTTTTTCAGAATGGGAATAAATATGAATCTCTTACAGTCAGTTGGCCAAGTCGTGGTCCTTCAGATTACTTGGCACAACTTGGTGAGCACATGCAGGGCAGCATCTGTTTGCCGAAATACATAAATTGGTATTCCATCAATTCCTGGGGGTTTATTTTTTTTTGCAAGTCATTCAGAACAGTCTGCACATCCTCCCTCATCACCATTGCCTCTTGATCATATGTTGTGTCCTCAAATTCTTCTGTGTCAGCCAATTCTTTTTGGTACAATGACTCTGAATACTCCTTCCATCTGCTTTTAATGCTTCCTGAATCATTCCATATTCTGCTTATAGCATCCTTAAGTATTGCAACTCATGCCTTGAATTTATTCTTAATTCTTTCAGCTTAAGAAATGATGAGTGAGTTTGGCCCTTTTGATTTTCTGGCTCCAGCTCCTTGCACATTTCACTATAATATTTACCTTGTCCTCTTGAGCAGCCCTTTGAAACCTATTTAGCCTCTTCTAGATTTCTTCCCTTTCCTTTGGCTTCTCGGTGCTCTAGTGCAATATTCAGAGTCTCTTCTGACATCCACTTTGGTCTTTTCTTCTTCTTACTTATTAGTAATGATCTTTTGCATTCTTCATAAATGGTATTCTTGATATCTTCCCACAGCTTATCTGGTCTTTGTTCATTAGTGTTTAAGGCCTCAAACCTATTCCTGCGCTGGTTTTTAAATTCATGGGAGATAGACGCAAGGTCAAATTTTGATTCCTGTGGGTATAATTTAATCTTCTTTAGTTTTAATTTGAACTTAATCACTTATATTTTTGCAATGCTTCTTTCCCACACAGTTTTCCTTACTTTATCCCATCTGACATTCCTAGCAGCATATGAACAAAAAGACAGGGGAGGAGGCAAGACCCTCTTAATTTAGACAAAGAGAATGAGATGCCTGTGGTTAAGAGCCATGCCCAAAGTTACACTCCTGACAGTGAAACTGTGGGGGTTCTTTTCCTTTTTTTATTTTTTTTTAACCTTTCCTTCATTATATCCATGAATTTATCAGATACTTATTAAAGGAAGTGGTTCTTAAGCTGGGGTGACTTTGTCCACCAGAGAACATTTGGCAATATCTGCAGGCATTTTTGGTGTCACTACGGGGTAGAATACTGTTGTTGTTATGTGCCATTAAGTCAGAACTAACCCATAGCTGACCCTCTGGTGGTTTTCAGAGGCAGTTAATTTCATGGGAGGAGATTGCCCATCCTTATCCCACGGAGCAGCAGATGGCCTTGAACCATGTGTACCTTCAGGATTGCAGTGCAGCTTCTTGCCACTAGGCCACCAGAGCTCCCTGGCATCTACTTCCCAAACAACATGTCTCTGGAAACTGAACTTTGAGAAGCAACGATAGTTTTGGAAAGTTTTTAGGTCTTTTGTTCATAGGGTTGTTAATGAGTCATACTTGACTCAATGGCAATCAGCAGCAACAACAACAATTGGAAAGAAGGAAGATGCTGCTGGCATCAGGTGGATGGAGACCAGGGGTGCTGCTAAGCATCCTACAGTGCACAGAACAGCTCCCCACGATCCACTATGGCGCATTTGTGATTTAACAGAGACTGTGCCTTTTGCATAGGGGGCACCTGGGCAGGAGAAGGGTGTACAGGGCAGAGCAAGTAAACTCTCGGAGGAATCTAAGTACCATGCTCAGTGCTTTTCCCCCAGGAAGCCCTGTCCCTGACCATTTCCTTGTCTGGTCTTTCCTCTTCCTTTTCTTTTAGAATTGATAAGAAAATGTCCAATGCTCAGGGCAGCTTTAAACTGGATGAAGCTCAGGCCGTCTTACGAGAAACAAAAGCCATCAAAAAGGCCATTACCTGTGGAGAAAGGGAAAAGCAAGATCTCATTAAGGTCTGTATGTTCCCAGTGTGGTGGGCCTGTCTCTTGGTTGCTAATTCTTCCTGACTACCTGTATGTCGGGCCTTGTGGGAGCCAGTTCCAAATGCTTCCACATCACTGAATTCTCAGTGCTTGGCTCCTTCAGCCTTTGGTACCATTGTATACACAGCTAGACTAAATGGCAGGATTGGAAGGGAAGCCTTCTATCTTTCTCCAGAGGCCACATCCTTGCCAGATTGATATAGTAACTGAGGCAATGGGGTTGGTGTGTCAGAATTAGGGAGACTGGCTCAGGACAGGGCAGGCTTCAGAGCTGTTATACATCGGGTCACTATGGGTTGCAGGTGACTCGATGGCACATAACAGCAACAAAAACAAGAACGGTTCTAGTCAATTCGCATATTTTTTTAAAAAAAAACAAACAGGATGGAAATAGCTTTGACATCTCCAACATTGATGTGTAATCATTTGATTACATGTACTCATTCTTACCCCCTCCTGTCTACCAGTTTGTCGTGGTGTGGTGGCTTGTGTGTTGCTGTGAAGCTGGAAGCATTACTGTTGGTTTTTTAAATATTGGCAGGGCTGCCCATGGTGGACATGTGAAGCAGAGCTTAGAGACTGACTTAGACTAGAGAGAAAAGCCTCATGCTCTAACTCTAAAGCGTCACCAATCAAAACCACTATGAATTTAAAAAGAATATTATTTGATACAGTGCTGGAAAATGAGGCCCCTAGGATGAAAGACTAACACAGCATGCCAACATCTGTGAAGGCGGCATAGGAACAGGCCCTGTTCCCTTCTGTTGGAGATAGAATCTCTGTGAGTCAGAGCCAATTCAATGGCAGCTAACAGAAACAATGGCTTCTATGCAGAAAATTAAGCAAATAATCTCAGATATTATTTAATGTGTCAGACAAGCAGTTGGGTCAAGTATTTTGCATGCCCCGTGCCTCACATATCTCTATATCGATAACTATGTAAAGCTCATAGGTAGTAGGGCCACAATTCAATCTTAAGAACATCTGACTCCAAAGTCCATTTTTTTAACCTTAGTATGCACCATCTCCTTACACAGGAGCTGCCCTCACACCTGAGATAATTTGTTATTCCCACCTGCAGATGAAAAGCCTGACGGAGAGATTCTACAGGACTTAGAGAAGGATGCTATTTGCTCTATGACACAGTCTTCCAAAGCTCCTCCTCAAGGCACTAAAGCAGTGAAAAATTCAGAGAGGTCTCTGAGCCAGTGAGGCCATTTGCTCTCACGATGCTGTGGTAAAGAGCAGGAGGCTTATTACCAGGACTCTGTCCTGATGCTGCCAGCTGCTCCATGTAACAGCTCCCTTGTCAATACAATGGAGATGATTATAGGTCATTCCTCACAGGCTTGTCATGATCCAGTAGGATACAGTAAAGCTGGCAGTCAGTGAGTATTGACTGTCCTAGTGCTGTACACCTGTCATCTCATTGATCAAGTACGCTGGCCTGTGAGTTCTTATATACCATCGAGGTGACTGACTCATAATGACCCCGTGAACAATAGACCTGAACCCTGCCCTATCCTGTGCTGTTCTCCACCTCTCTGATGTGCTTGAGCCCATTGTTAAGAGTAACTGGTGTCAAGCAATCCTGTTCAGGGTCTTCCTCTCTTTCACTGACCCTCTGCCTTTCCAATCATGATGTCTTTTTTCCAAAGACTGGTGAGTTAGGACCTTTGATTTCATTCCATTGTGCAGGAGAGAAAATTGAGATGCAGATCGTGTCATACAACATGAGGGTAGCAAAGGAGAGAGAGGCTCCAGCTCCAGCACTGTGGCCCCAGGACCAACGTCCACACCTGTCTCTTTCATATAAAGGGCCTGGCCCAGTGTCTGGTGCATAGTGAGTTAGTTCTTTTGTGGCTCACTCTTTTATCACAGCTGAGAAAAATGTGTGGAGCATCACGAGTTTGTAAGACGGAGGACATGACTAAGGAACCAAGTAAAAGGAGACCCAGATCTCCTTGGGAGGCACCTTGCTAACGCTCCCTCTACCTCTTCAGACCCTCGCCATGCTCAAAGACGGCTTCCACACAGACAGGGGATCCCACTCAGACCTGTGGTCCAGCAGCAGCTCTCTGGAGAGTTCCAGCTTCCCACTGCCCAAACAGTACTCAGACGTGAGCTCCCAGACGGACATCTCAGGAAACGTGAGTAAGCCATGCGTGCTTCTGAAGGCCAACCCGGGACGGCATGTGGAAGCTGCCACATTCCCATTGAGCCGATTTCTGGGAAGTGACTCCCGCTACCTTTTCCCTGCTCGCCTGAAGAGCTGCCAGGGGCTTTCTGAGAGGCTAGCAACTAACACAGCCCCCTGCAGCTCTGTCCTTGCAGGTCTGCTGGCCCTTGGGTAATGATGCCGAGGAAAAGCCACCATGGCCTCTGTAGTCTAGCTGCCTAAATCCTGGCATCCATAGAATACTGCACAGAAAACACTTTTGAAGGACAAAGTAGCTTTTCTCTGGTTTCTTTGATACTATTGTGCAGTTCCCATTCTGTTTTCCTTTCACCAGCTGGAAGGCAGAGGATATTTTCCTCCTGTAAGTCCCAAAACAATGCACACAAGCTTTCAGACAGCTGCTTGCCTCTAGTTCAAAACCTAAGGCTGGTAACAGTGATAATAGTCAAAGGCCGCCTGCAGCCTGTGAACACGTTAGCCAGAGTAGGAGTGACCCGTGGCAGTCTGTAACTTTGGGCAGCTTTTGTTTTAAGAGAGCAGGCGACTTCGAACAAACCCTCCTCCTATAGCCTCTGTGGCTTAAATGCTGTTCCTGTCTGATTTCTATAGCTGTGTTCCCACTCGTGAAGAGAACCTAAGTCCGTGTGTGATCGGGTGAGCCTTGGGGCTTGTTACCACTTTTGACAGACTAGCACGGCGATGGGGCTGCTCCCCCCTCCCTCACTCTACTCGTGTGCACAGCCATAAGTCACCTGCAGGGCCAGCGTGTTTGTGAAGAAGCTGTGTCCCTCCTTCCAAGTTCCAGAACCTTCTCCCCACTCACCTATTGTCTCATGACTGATTTTGGTCTCCCTGAGTTTTTGGACGACCCTCTCCCCAGTGTCCCTAGAATGGCTTTCTTGTTTCCTGGCTGTCCTTGTCTCCTCACAACTGTCCTTCACGCTTGTGTGTCTTGAATTGGCTCCAAGCTATCTGGGGCTGCAAGTTGATGTTCTGGGCCCTTGGTCTCTCTTCTCAACGCAAGAGATGTCCGAGTTTGAGGCTCTTCGAATGACCTGAAGGAAAGAAAGTATTTTGCTTGACAAGCTTCCTGAGATCTCCACAGCTAGCCTGGTAATTGGGGGTTATTCTTAGCTGCTTCCCACGCAAGCTGTCAAATCTCCCGTGAGCCTTGGAAACCCAACTCCACAGTGGCCACAGTAGCTGTATAATTCCAGACTTTGTTCTTCTTCTCCAGTTTGGCACCAGCAGCAACAGTCAGTTGGCAGAGAAGGTCAGATTGCGCCTTCGATATGAAGAGGCTAAGAGAAGGTAATTAGAGGCTGGGAATTGGGGGCAGAGTTCTTCCAACAAAAATGATTATTGTTGTTAAATGTTCTGTGCCTGGTTTTCTACACACTTCATCTTGTAAAATGCTCACAAGGATCAAGAAAGAGAGGTATTCTAATCATACTATTTTATTCGTCTTTGATGCTTAGGGCATAATTGGCCCTACTACATAAAGGAGGGAACTGTGCTTTGAACCCAGACTTGTTTGACCTCACAGTCTGATCCTCTTTCCATTTTCCTGCTTCTCCTTCTATAATCATAGTTTTCCCACTGGTACATTATTTTTCAAATTGTGGTAAAAATAAATATATGTAACTAAGCATTTGTCACTTCAGCATTCTTAAGCATTAATTGTATGCACCATGCTATGCAATCATCACCAGTTCTATCCAGTTTGGTTGGAGAAGGAGCACAAATTATGGCAACAGCTTAAAAGATGACAGGAACTTTCTAGTTTGTTGTCTGGTGTTCAGTTGAAAGCAAGCTGTGCTTCTAAAAAGTATAAGCCCCAGTGACTTTAAATGCTTCCTGGCTTCATAGCATCCTGGGTGTTAACTTCTACTGCAATGCATGACATGAAAACAGAAGTAATATTGAAAGCTTTCGGTTTTAGAGCATCTATTATAAGACAGGCATTATGCTAAAACATTTGTGCATATATTTTCTCATTTAACTTTAAAAGTTACTTTGTATAATAAGTTAAAACTTACTATCTCCATGGTAGAGAGGAAAAGTAAGACCTAAGGTTTTCTGTGACTTTTCCATATGGTGAAGTCCGCTTTTGAATTGAACCCGGACGACACAGCTAAAAGTCCAGGATCTTCACACACAGTAAGCCAAGCTTCCTGGGAAAAAAGCCCTTGGGCACAGGGCTAATGAATGAAACCAAGCTGATGGCATCAATTCCTCCTTAGGCTAGGTTGTCTGGCTCACGGCCCATCTCAGTCAGGCTGTATGGAATGTGGCAGTACCAGCTCTATCCCTCAGTATGTTCTGTGTAACAGAATTCATGGTAGCAATTACACAAATCCTATAAAAACTAGTCTAGTTGAGAAAGATGGGTTCAATAATGTATACTGCATTGAAATAGATGAGGGAGAAAACTGTTTAAAAGGGATATGTGATTAGGTATTTTTGTCATGACAGGAGTCCAGAGCGAAGGCTGCATAGTGGAGTGGACCTGGGGGGAGGGATTGTTGAAAGAATTTTGCTTTTACAAAAGGGTAGTGTACTAGGGGGGAGGGTTGGGAGGGGAGAAAAGTGCAACAATGGATGAATGGAAATCCAAAGTCTCTGGAAATATTCATTGAAATCAATAATAAATTTAAAACAAAACAAAACAACAAACTAGTCTCGTAAGAGCAAAAAGGAAAGGGGCACAATTTGAGTCTTATGTAACACCCAAGCCCTAGCTTCAGACACAGTGGCATGCAAGATTCAGAATGATGTTCCATAGAGTCAGTCTCTCTCCTTTTTGTCACACTTTTGGTTGGTTTATGCTTGCTTCATGCTACAGCAAGTGTTCTTATAAAAGTGGCAAGACGACCCCCAGCATTTCAAGAGTTCATACTCCCAGCTCTGCAAACCCAGCATCCCAACAGTTTCAGCAAGTCATAGGCATGAAAGCCACTGACCTTCCTGAGTAAAATGGCCATTGTTGAAAGCTGGGGGAGGGGTTGTTGAAGATCTTACTCTCTTGTACTGACCCTCTACCCTGAGGATGAGGAGAGCTGAACAGATTTCAAAAGGTAGCTCTGGAGATAGAAGACCAAAAGAATAAGAAAACATGCTCAGCATTTCACAAATTAAATGGCTGAAGAAAAAATTGAGCTCTCAAGTTGCAATGCTAATGGGTTTTATGAGCAAAATACTGAATTACACAAGAAGAATAAAAAAAAAAGTTGTAAGGAATATATGTAGAGTCACTCTACCAGAAAGAATTGGTCCCTGTTCAATCATTTCAGGAAGTAGACTACAATCAAGAACCAACAGTATTGGAAAGAAGGTCCACTGATAAAAAAAAGAAATTGTATTAAAGGCACTGATGAAGCACAAGAGACCAGGAATTAGAGGAATACCAACTAGGATGTTCCAACAATGGATTCACTGTTGGGAGAGCTCAAAAATGAAAAACATCTCTCTGGTGCATCGACTAGAAAAGATCTTATTTGTGCCTATTCCAAAGAAAGGTGATCCAACAGAATGTGGAAAATATGAACAATATCATTAATATCACATGGAAGTAAAATTTTTCTAAAGATAATTAAAAACGGGTTACATCAGTACTTTGACAGGGAACTGCCACAAATTCAAGCTGTATTTAGAAGAAGATACGAAATGAGAGATATTATTGCTTATGTCAGATGGATACTGGATAAGAGTAGAGAATTCCAGGAAGAAAATATGCTGGGTTTTGTTTTTGGTTTTTTGTTTTGCTTTGCTTCATTTTTTATGCAAAGACAGTCAACTGTGTGGATCATAACAAATTAACAAGTAGCATTGTGAAGAGTGGGAATTCCAGATTACTTAACTGCATTCGTGTGGGACCATTCATGTAGATCAAAAGGCAGTTGTTCAAACAGAATCAGGAGATACTGCATGTTTAAAATCAGGAGACGTGTATGTGTTACCTTTTCACCATACATATTCAATCTGTATGCTGAATAAATAATCAGAGAAATTGGACTATTTGAAGAACAGAGCATCAGACTTGGAGGAAGGCTCATTAACAACTTGTGATACGCAGGTGATACAACCTTAATTGTTGAAAGTGAAGAGGACTTGAAACACTGAGGAGGATCAAAGACGGTGTTATGGGTTACTTATCAACATCAAGGAAAGAAAAATCCTCAGGACCAGCAAACAACATCATGATCAATGGAGAAAAGATTGAAGTTGTCAGGGGTTTCATTTTCCTTCATCTGTAGTCAATGGACATGGAAGCAGCAGTCAGGAAATTAAGCCAGTTGTTACACTGGCCAAGTCTGCTTCAAAGGATTTCTTTGAAGTATTAGAGAACAAGGATATCACTTTGTGGACTAAGGTGCACATTACCCAAGCTGTAGTATTTTCATTTACCTCAGACATGTGCAAAAGCTGGACAGTAAATTAGGAAGAGAGAGAAGCACTGATAATTCTTGAATTACGGTGTTGATGAAGAATATTGAATATACTCTCAACTGCCGGAAGACTAACCAAAGCAATCTTGAAAGTACAAACAGAAGTAAAGACAAAAGACTTTTGGACATGTTAGACATGTTATTAGGATTTTCTGAGAAAGGCATCATGCGTGGTAAAGTATGTTGTTTGCTGTTGTATGCTGTCAAGTTGAAACCAATTCATAGCTGATCTTCCAGCGGATTTTTCAAAGGCAGTGAATCACAAAGGAGTAGCTAGTGGATTTGAACCACAAGCCTTTTTGGATTGGCAGCACAGCTCATTACCGCTAAGCCACCAAACGATAGGGTCACTGGGAAAATGAAGTCCCTCAAAGAGCTGTATACTGGCAAAGTGGTGTGACAGTGGGCCCAAGCAAGGCATCGCTGTGCACATGGCACCGGGCCAGGGAGTGTTTCATTCTGTTGTCTCTGAAGTGGATACGAGTTGAAAGTGGCTTGACAACACCTAATAATGAGCAATAGTCTTAGTTAGACTGTGACTCTCATGTTGGCCTAGTGGCAATAATACCTAACATCTATGTAATACTTTTTTGTTCTTGGTTTTAGGTAACGTTGACTCAATGAAAACTTAATAGCAATCCTGAGAGTCAAATTAGGGTTTTCTATTTTCTTCCACTCTGATGGGGTTCAAAATGACAGTTTTTCAATTCACAGCCAAGTGTGTAACTCCTGTACCATTAATGCTCCATACTTGGAAATCTGTAAAGAGCTCTTTATGACATATTCCCACTAAGTCTTCATAAAATAGCCCCTCAGTGTTGTTATTATTCCCATCTTATAGAACACATTGAGTCTCAGAAAACTTAAAATATAGGACTTAAAAAAAAAAAAAAGGACTCCTGTATCCTTCCTTTAACATTTTAAAAGGACTGCAGTGTGCTAGGTACTGTAATATGTATTTGTGATCCCAGATTGATTTCTCAAGAAATAGTCATTTTGCCAAGAAGGCCTGTGCCAGGACTCCCTCCCAACTTCTGCCCCTTAACCCCAGTTCTTCATACTGTGCCAGTACCCTTCTCTGTATGGAGGACACCTGCTTAGTAGCTGTAGCATTTTTTTGAAGTTGTAGTAGGTCCAAAACTACAGTTGATTCAACACCTATCTCATGCCAGACACTCTGAATATATTATTGCTAATTTTCACAACAATTCTGAAGGATAATTGCTTTCTAATCTCACAACTCAAGAGAGTTCAGTGTTATACATTTAATAATTTGACCAAACTAAGTGTTCACAGCTTCACTTTGCTCGGCTCCACAGTCAACACTCTTGGTACCAGCAGTCAGGAAATCAAAAAGTGTATCGCGATGGGAAAGTCTGCCGTTAGGGACCTCTCAAACGTACTCAGGAGCAACAGCGTCTCTCTGGAGACTAAGGTGCGCCTGATACAGGCCATGGTATTTGCAATCGCTTGTTATGCATCAGAGAGTTGGACAATGACTAGGGAGGACAGAAGGAGAGTGGATGCTTTTGAGCTGTGGTGCTGGAGAAGGGTACTGAATGTACCCTGGACTGCCAGGAAAACAAACAGATCCATCTTGGAGAGGATTAAACCAAGCTGCTCCTTGGAGGCAAGGATTCTGGGGCTTCATCTGACATACTTTGGACATGTTGCCAGGAGGGACGGGTCCTTGGAGAGGGACATCATGCTTGGGAGGGTGGAGGGACAGCGCAGGAGGGGAAGACCCTCTATGAGATGGATTGATTCGGTGACTGGGGTAATCGGGATGGGTGTGTCAGAGGCGGTGCGGTTGGCGCAGGATAGAGCAGGGTTTAGAGCTGTTGTGCATAGGGTCGCTATGAGTCGGAAACGACTCGATGGCACATAACAACAACAACAAGTATTAACCACTGATGATAACATCGACATTTATTGAGCTTTGATTGATTCATTGTCTTACTTTATGCCAAATACTGTACTTGGGAAACTAATTAATTTTGTCACAAAATCCTCAACGATAAGCTATAAGAAGAGACTTTTGTTATTCCTATTGTTTTATTTCGTTGTTGTGTGCCATCGAGGTACATACAGCCCCTAAACCCTTCTCTATTCTGTGCCAATCTTATTGTCTCTGACACACATACTCCCATTACCCCAGTTACTGAGTCAATCCATCTCATCGAGAATCTTCCTCTCCTGCACTGTCCCTCTGCCCTCCTAAGCATGGCATCCCTCTCCAAGGACTGGTCCCTCCTTGCAACACGTCCAAAGTATGTCAGATGAAACTTCAGAATCAATGCCTCCAAGGACAAGCCCAGTATCACCCTCTCTGGGACAAATCTCTTCTCTTACCAAAGAACTGAAATTACATGCTTAAGGTCACACAGCTAGTCAGCAAGTGATTATTGCCTGGTATGGAGTCCGATTATTGCCTGGTATGGAGTCCAGGACTCTCCACTGAACCAGGCTCTGTCCCTCTGGGTAAGTTCTTAGCCTTATTCACTCTGTGTCACTTTTCCTACACAGCCTACTTCCCTGCTTGCCCAAATGGCAGGCTTCCGCACGTGGTTTTTAGGTAATGCTTGGTCCTTGATCAAAAGAATAAGTAACTGTAAAGAGTTGTTCTGAGAATTAAAAAAAAAAATAATTGTTCTAAGGATAGCATATATCTTTGTACCCCAGAACCTTGGAAGTGCAGCCGGATACTTATTCTGATACCCAGTAACTGTCCGTGGATACACCAGTCATTCTCCCTTTTTTGGCCACCAGGATTGCCAACTTGAAGATCCAGCTGGCCAAGCTTGACAGTGAGGCTTGGCCTGGAGTGCTGGACTCGGAGCGGGACCGGCTGGTCCTCATCAATGAGAAGGAGGAGCTGCTGAAGGAGATGCGGTTCATCAGCCCCAGGAAGTGGACGCAGGGCGAGGTGGAGCAGCTGGAGATGGCGCGGAAACGTCTGGAGAAGGACCTGCAGGCAGCCAGGGACACCCAGAGCAAGGCGCTGACAGAGAGGTGGGGCTGGCCTGGGTGTGTGCCAACGGAGCTGTCCTCACTGCGTCTCTGTCCTTCAACCCCCACCCCCACCCCAGTGCAAGGAGGCAAGGGACGAGGGAGACACCTGGCTCCCTCTAAAACAATTTCAGAGATAGCTCAGCTTTCCAAAATAGCAGATCTGGGGGAAATTTATTGGTATCCTAGCACCAGCTCCTATTGGCACGGAGTTATCAAAAATTCTGTTCAGGTGCAGATTTTCCGAAATGTATATTCTGACTAAAGTAAGATCTACTGTTGTTTAGTTGCAGTTATTGCTGCATAGGGTTTTCAAGGCCATGACCTTTCAGAAGCAGATTCCCAGGCCTTTCTTCCAAGACGTCTTTGGGTAGGTTTGTACCAGCAACCTTTTGGATAGTAGTAAAGCACTAAACCATTTCTACCAAGGAACTCTGCATACTTTAAAGCAATAGTTTTCCAACTTTGTGGCAGTGGCTCACATTTTATATAGTGTCCCAGTACACAGAAGTATTGCAGAAAAGTAAACTCACTTTCTACGTGTGATGGAACGCTGATATGTTCTCTCGTAGTGCATTTCTTTTAATGCCAGTTATAACCCACTGAATTTATTTTACCACATGATAAGAATTGCCGTTCACAGTTTGAAAAGTGCTGGTTTAGGTAGGAGTTCCAAACAAAATGCTTCTAGGGACCAAGCCAGGTACTGTAAATGCTGGAGGCGAAACTCTTCTTTCCCTCAGTGTTCACACCAGCACACTGGGCTAAACATGGCACTATGTTCCCAGGAGGCTCTGCAGCTCGCAGATGCACTGTCATTCATCTTTTCATTCTCCATTTGTCATTTGCTATTCATTCAACAAACATTTTACGACTCATCATCTCTGTATAAGACAATTTAGAATGTTTAGAAATTAGTAAAAATACGGCCCTTGCCCCAGTAACCTTCAGACCTAGTCTGATAATTTTCATTTTTGATAGTAAATTTTGTGAGAAGAATCCCTAGCCTTAAGGAGCAGAGAATTGAAACTAGTGATTTTCAAATGTAGGGGCGAGAGTGGAGTTAATTGAAAGAGATTCTCTTCCCAGTGAATTTGGAAGCAGATACCCAGTTTATAAAGCACGTAAACATATCAATGCCCTGAGTGAAGCAGGGAAAGAGTGTTAGGTACCTAGTTGTGTTCTCTCTAGATCGCCTATGATGAATCTGAAGACTTCAGGAATCCTTCCAGCTTTATGGAATGTGGCTCGTATGTTATTGCTGTTGTTGTTATTGTTAGATACCATTGAGTCAACTATGATTTATGGCAGCCCTGTGAAATACAGCTCTGAACCTTACCCTAACCTGTGTCATCATCACAGTCTGCCATGCTCAAAACTGTTACTGTTTATTGAAGTCATTGTGTCAGCCCATCTGGTTTAGGGCCTTTCTGTTTTTCACTGACCCTCTACCTCTCTCAGTGTGATATAATTTACCAAGGACTGATTCCTTCTGACGACATGCTTCAAGTATATGAGCTAAAGCTTCCCTGTCCTTCCCTCTAAACCAACCCTAGTTTGAACTTACTCCAAGACAGATTCACTTGTTTTTAGCAGTCCATTGTATATGGTCAGTGCTCTTCTCTAGTATCACAATTCAAACACATCAGTTCTTCTTCAAGCTTCCTTATTCATTGTCCAGCTTTCAAATGCCTAGAAAGCAGTTGAAAATTCCATGGTTTGATTCAAGCGTACCTTCCTCTTTATGCCAACATCCTTGCTCTTTAGCATTTTAAAATTGTTCTGTCACCAGTTAGTAAAGCCCTGGCTTTTCCTCAGTTATACCTGCACATTTTGAGATTCCAGGGTCACCCCGCTAATTAGTCTCTGCATAACCTCTGGTGGCTTACGTCAATTCATTGACTGGTCAGTGGTAGGGATACCTCCCTGACAAAGCCCTTCATCAGAACTGCTAACAGTGACATCGCAGGTGTGGGTAATGCTTCCGTTTCCTCTGACTTCCACTGAGAGGAGCATCTGATTAGTACAGACCCTCTGCCAGGTGCAAGTACAAGGGCAGGAGACAGCTTGGATCATTGGTGTTTGGCAGCTCTCTGTCCCTGGTTCCCTGATTCTTTCTTCAATTCTCACTGTCCTTCCCTCCTACTCTGTTTTTCCTGTGTGTGTGTTTCTGTGTGGGTCTGTTTCTCTCTAATGTGTGTGATCTCTCTCAGCATGTGGTACTATGCTCATTCACCTTCACTCAGCAGCCTCTTCCATTCAAGGTGCTCTTGAGAAGGACCAGAATGAACCCCAGACACCCCTCACTCTGCCCCCTTTCTATTGCTTCTCTCAGTTGGTATACAGACAGGGTGCTTGTAAGAGTAAGGACCCTGATTCTTCAAGGTTGACATGGGGCACAGCCTCCTCTTTTTTTTTTTTATACACCCAATGCATTATGTCTTCGTTTCTTTTTAATTTTTAGTTCATACTGGTTTGCTTACAAAGTTTTTATCCATTGTGTTGCACGCTATCCTTCATTCACATTGTGTTTCATATAATCATTTTGCTTCATTATCTTTTATAGAATTAATCAACATTGAACTGTGCCTACCATTTCCTGGTCTTTCCAGGTCCCCCCTTGGATCTTTCCCATTTCCTTCCCCCTACTCCATTCATCAAATTGTGCAACCCTATGATTTCCTCCCTGGGGCCCCACTTCTTGTATTTTTAAGCAGCATTCCAAGTGGAAGACTACAGCTTATGGGGAATTCCAGCCCCACCTTCTGGATCCTTTGGCTGCTCCCACATTTGATGTGTTTTTGGCCATCCAGCCTGTGCCAGGCATCCCACAAAAATGCCATATGGCAGGCTAAGCCTAGCACCTCTTGGGGGAGGCCTGCCACCTGTGATGTGCTGCTAGTAGTTACACTCAGGCTCAAAGCATCCAAACAGCCCAATCTCCAGTTCCCACAGCATCATTCGGGAACTCCAGAAAGGCATTAACTCTACATTACTCCCAGAATACGCCTCCGACACAGGCGGAGGGAAAGTGGAAATGGCAATTTCAGCTGCTTTCTGACCCCAGACCACACATTCTCTCAGGGCCTTCCTCTTAATGAACATTCAGAAGATATCACAACCTGGTGCATTCCAGTGAGAGTCAAGGATTTTGTTCATTAAAGGCTCCATCTGCTAGGCATTCTGTAGTCCTGCCAGCCCTGGACAGGACACTGAAAAAGTATCACCAGCACAGAGCTGACCCAGAGCCAGCCCATGGCTGCTCTGCCCAGTGCTTCCCTTATCTTGTCTGGAATTTCACAGATAGAGTTGCCGTATGTCCCAAGCAAGCTCCAAGGAGCCCTGATGATACTATGGTTAATTGCTCAGCTGCTAATTCAAAGGCTGTTGGTTCAAACCTGCCCAGTGGCTCTATGGAAGAAAAAACCTGGCAATCTGACATGAGAACCCTATGGCTTTGTTGCTTGCTTTTTTTTTTTTTTTTTAAATTTAGTTGTCAGGTTTTGATGTGTTGCTTTGTTTGTTTGTTTGTTTTTGGTTTTGGGGGTTTTTTTTCCTATCACATGGGGTCTTTATGTCTCAGCAGCACCCAAGAATAATAACAAGATTCAATTTTCATTGCAGGGCCTATCCTGAGGGCGACTTGCATTAGTAGAGGGAGGATGTGGTTTGGTTTTTTTTCCATGGAAGCTCAACCTTGTTCCATGTTTCTTGTAGGATTGACTATGCTCTGAAGTATATGCCCCAGTCCATGGAGTAGTGGGGTCAGGAAGTCCCTGTATAACAAGATTGTACCAGGGGAGAAGGAGTCATCCATAGAATGCATTAGTTCATGAGAGGTTCCATTTAATGTCTAGGTCCTAATTACAGAAGATAAACGTTGACTACATTAACTAGTTGAGAGTTAACAATTCTGCAAAACAGTCATTAAGCACAACCATGTGGAGAGCTCCTGTTAGACGCTGGGTGAGCAAAGCACTACTCCTGCCTTCTTGCAGTCACTAATGAATTCAGCAGCTCAGAAACTTTAGTGTACCCCAGAATCTGGGTTGCTTCATAAAGACTCAGATTCCCAGGTCCTGTCCTTAGGCATGAGCTCTGGTAGCCTAGGGGTAAGGAGTTGCACTACCAACCCACACTCACTTGGTTCAAATCCACCAGCTTTTCTAACAGATGGACAGTCTGCTCCCATGCAATTAATAGCCTCTAAAAGCCCACTGGAGGGTCATCTATGAGCCAGTTCTGACTCTATGACACACAACAATATCCCTAGACATTGAGTGAGATTGTACACCCCAGGAATGTTTCTTTTGATAAGCATACCCCTCTTCAGATTTAGGAGATCCCAAGTGTGAGGGCACAGGCTTCCTTGATATTTCCAGCCTGCACAACCCTTGGAACCCACCCATGTTGTCCTCGATGGAGGATTTTAGGAGAAGCTGGGGTCTGAGAGATGGCCTTCTATCCAGCAGTTTCTTCCAAATGCAAGGGATTTTGCCTCCAGGAAGATACTTAATGGATTGGGTGTTAGTATTGGACATGCCGAATTGCAGACCTTACCACTCAAGTTCCATTCATTATGCTCCATTACACTGAGTTAGCTCTTCACTGGGTTCTCTGATTCCATTCCCTCAGGCTCCTCTGCTGACAGTGGATAGCCCATTCAACTTCTAATGTGGTGAATATCAGACCCTGGTCCCAGGCTTTCCATTTCCGTCTATATTTTATCCTAAAATAGCACTCTCATTCATGTGGTGATACACTTGATGGTGACTCCCAACTTTACCTACTTTGTTCCACCATGATGTTTACATGTCCACAGTTGAAATCTTCTGTCTCCCAAGGTTGTTCTGCTTCTAGTCTTTCCAGTCAATAAATACCCTCTCTGTCTAGCCACTCACTCATGGTAGCAACTTCATTTCTCTTCATTTGCTTCATTAGCCTCACCCTCCACATCCAGTGTCTATGCTGTTTTAAAACATTGTATTGGTATTTTCATGAAATACTTGTTTTAATAATATCTGCCCTCACATCTTCGCCAGCAGAATGTGAACTCCTCCACAAAGCAGAATCACGTTTGCTTACTACTTTATTCCCAGTCCCAAGAACAGTGGGCTAGCAGTATTATTAGTGCAAGCAGAGGTGAAAGTAATGGTGAATGGATAGATGGATAAGTAGATGGGGAAGGAAGGAATAGGACTTTATGTTGAGTCCCAATTCAGCCACCAATTCAATGGCATTAAGTAAATTGTTTCACACTCAGAAATCTCAATTTTTTCATAAGGAAAGTATTAAAAATAATTTCTCCTATGCAGAGAATTTTGAAAATGGTTTAAGCAATGTTTAAGTTCCTAGCATAATGCTTGGTATACAGTAGATGATGAATATAACAATTACTGTAGGATTGTGTAGGCTGTATGCCTCCAGACACCTTAGTTGATGCTTCCAGAATGCTTTGGTTATATGTCTGTGGGTCTGTGTCGGAGGCTGGGATACCCTTGAGTCTGGAGGGGGCTAGAAAGTCTTAGGTACTCCTCACACATTTCTCTTCCTCAGGTTAAAATTAAACAGTAAGCGGAACCAGCTGGTGAGAGAACTAGAGGAAGCCACTCGGCAAGTAGCAAGTCTGCACTCCCAGCTGAAAAGGTGAGTGGTGGGCGGCAGGTAGCACTCCTGGAGCTGATGCGGCATAGGCGTCCGAGTGGCCTCACCCAGCCTCTGTCTTCCTCTGGTCCTCTGTGGCTTAAATGTGGATATTTTGAAGCACAGCAGAGGTCTGTATAGACAACTTGGGCTTAGACTGGCATGCCCAGGAGCAGGGTCTGCAGATCCTCGTTCTTTCTGGTCAGCCAAAGCAGAAAGCCTTCGTCGGGTGCTAGTGTGTCTTACCTGCCAGATCACCTTTGTAAAACAAAGGAGAGCAGGCCACAGGCCAGAGCCTTAGCAAGTACATTGTTGCAGTGCAGCACTTTGTTTTCATTGAATTTTTTAATGATTACCTTCTATGTCTAGTAAGTGATGCTGCTTTTGATATTATTCTCAGGATATAAGGTTTCCCTTTAAAATAAACAAACTTTATAATGTGAGTTCATTTGAAGACAAACACTAATGCTGGTCCCATTTGTCTTCAGGTAGGGAAACAATCTTGGAAATGGAATGTGGCCAGTGGAGATGAGAAACTTAAGTATGGAGGGGAAAGTACTGTTAAGATAGCTAATTGAGGCTCCCATCCCAGCTTTGCCACTTTCTGATGCAGAGCCTTCCTAGGGTGGCAGTTTTCTCTTGGTAAAATAAGGGATGTGTCATCCATTCTGACCTATGAGTGTCCAGTGCCCAGGTGTTTTTTAAAGCCAAGCGGAAAAGAATCCCAAGTGTGTAGTGTCTTCACATCTCTCTCTCTCTCTCTCTGTATGTGTGTGTGTCCCCAGCCTTTCCAGCAGTATGCAGTCTCTGTCCTCAGGCAGTAGCCCCGGCTCCCTCACGTCCAGCCGGGGCTCCCTGGCTGCCTCCAGCCTGGACTCCTCCACCTCAGCCAGCTTCACAGACCTCTACTACGACCCTTTCGAGCAGCTGGACTCGGAGCTACAGAGCAAGGTGGAGCTTCTCCTGGAGGGAGCCACGGGCTTCCGGCCCTCAGGCTGCATCACCACCATCCACGAGGATGAGGTGGACAAGACCCAGAAGGCAGAGGCAGGCGGCCGCCTGCAGGCCCTGCGCTCGCTGTCTGGCACCCCGAAGTCCATGACCTCCCTGTCCCCTCGTTCCTCTTTGTCCTCTCCATCTCCACCCTGCTCCCCTCTCATCACCGACCCCCTCCTGACTGGAGAGTTCTTCCTGAGCCCGCTGGATTTTGAAGAACCGGAGCTGAGTGCCACCCTTTGTGAACTGAGCCTTGGCAGCAGCACTGGGGAGAGGTACCAGCTGGAGGAGCCAGGAACAGACGGCAAACAGCTGGGCCAAGGTAGAGAACTCTGTGTCTGCGTCTGGGAGGCCAGGAGGAGGGAAGGAGATACTCTGTGCTGAAGCCTGATCGAGGGCCCTCACTGATAATCTGGAGGAGGGAAGGAGATACTCTGTGCTGAAGCCTGATCGAGGGCCCTCACTGATAATCTGGAGGAGGGAAGGAGATACTCTGTGCTGAAGCCTGATCGAGGGCCCTCACTGATAATCTGATGGTCAGCACTGGCTGACTCATGGCTAGGTGCCAGCTATTTTTACTCATTCAGTAGCTAGGTGTTTAGTACTAAGTATGTGCTGCCAAGAAAACAAATCTGTCTGTCTTGGAGATGGTGAAACCAAGTCTTTCCTTGGAGGCCAGGATTTTGAAGCTCTGGCTCACATATTTTGGCACATGGTCAGGAGAGACCAGTCCTTGGAGAAGGACATCATGCTCAGCAGGGTGTGGGGACAGTGCAGGAGAGGAAGGTCCCAGATGAGTTGGATTGGTACGGTAACTGGGGCAGTGGAGGTTGGTGAGACTGACTGAGGACAGGGCAGGGTTCAGAGCAGCTGTACACAGTGTCACTATGGGTGGCAAGCAACTCTGGCACACATGTGCTATGAGCTCTGGTGGCTTAGTAGTAAAGAGTTGTGCTTCCACCCAAAAGGCTGAGGCTCAAATCCACCAGCTCTTCTACAGGAGAAAGATGGACACTCTCCCAGGTGATTTGCCACCTCTGAAAACCCACTGAAGGGTCAGCTATGATTTGGTTCTGACTCTTCTCTATGTAACAACATGTGCTGTGTAGGGAACTCTGATGGCTGTAGACTATAAGGAGCTGAATGACTCATCCAAAGTCAGTGCCTCTCTGGCAGTTCAAATCCACCAGTGACTCCATGAGAAAGAGATGAGCAGTCTCCTCCTATGTGATTTACAGCCTCAGAAACCCCACTGGAGGGTCAGCTGTGAGTTGGTTCTGACAAGTCGGCCACGTGTTTGAGTTTGATGTACTGTGGAGGTCCCTGGGTAGCACAGATCCCTTGCACTCAACTCTTAACCTAAAAGTTAGCAAACCCAGCTAGTAGTGCTGCAAAACAAGGCCTGGCAGCTCCATCCGTAAAGATTAAAATCAAGCAAACCCTGTGAACCACGGTTATCCTCTGTAATACACACGGTCATCATGAGTTAAAGTTGTCTCCACAGCAGTGGGTTTGACTTTTATATGCTTTGGGCACATTGATGGTTCAGTGGAGACGTAGGTGGTTCAGTGGGGACATTGGTGGCTCAGTGAGGACGTTGATGGTTCAGTGGGGACATTGGTAGTTCAGTGGTAGAATTTTCTCACCTTCCATATAGGAGAGCTTTGAGAGGTTCCTGGCCTGTGTACCTCATGCAGACCCCCCATTGGACTATCAGTGGAAGGTAGTAAGTTACTGATGTTACTGAACAGCATTCAGCAGAGCTTCAGGACTAGAAAGAATGGCCTGACAACCTGCTTCTGGAATCAGCCCCTGAGCTCTTATGGATCATGATGGTCTCGGCCACAGCAGATTGTGGGGCTGGTGCAGGACCGAGCAGCATTTAGTTCCAGGTGCCCAGACTTGCCGTGAGCAGGGGGCTGAGTCAGAGACAGCTAATAGCAGCATGCGCTTGGGCCTGTGCTGAGTGTTTCTATTGGTGGCTTCATTCATTCATTCATTCAACAAATATGTATTAAATACCTGCAGAAACTAAGTCCCAGCTCCTGTGCTAGCTAAAAGATCCATTCATTTATTTCATATACACATGTCATCTGCCCAGACCCATGTTAGACCCGAAGCATTCAGTGCTGAAGACAGACGAGATCCCTGTTCTCGAAAAGTTTCCGTTTAAGTGAAACAGCAGACGGTACAACTGGATCAATAAAAGCACAGTGAGGGAGATGGAGGCAGAAAGGTGATGGAGCCTTTCCGGTCAGGGCAGGGGCTGCCAGGTCAGGCCGGAATGTGAGGAAAGCTCAGAGACCAGGGCTGAGGAAAAGATGGCCGTGCGAAGAGCATGCTGGGCAGCCTGGAGTCACCGACAAAGCTGGAGAGTCAGACCTCATGGTCATGGGAAGGGGCTTGGGTTGCATTCTAATTGCAGAACAGTGTGGCCTGGCTCCCATTCTGCAGGAAATCATGAAAAACATTCTTCATCTCATTGAGATTCCAGTCGGAATCTTCAGAATAAAACATGGTACTCGTGAGCACCGTTAAAGTTAATGAGAAAAAAAGTCTTCATCTTTAGGAACAACCACATAATAAATCATAATGTATAATATACTGGGGATGCAGTATGTGTTTGATAATGTTCCAAGTGCTTGCCATAGTAAGACAGCTACTTCTATCATGTCTATTTCATAGATGAAGAAACAGCTTTAGAGAGTTGACATTACTTGTCATAAGCCATCCATCTAACAATAGGGAGACAGGAATCAGAGCCTGGATCTTTCTGACACCAGAGCCCAGCCATGCTTCTCTCCTAGAATCTGGGGTAATCCGAACGTTCCACCCTAGGCTCCCCATGTTTGCTAGCTGTGCCATCTGGCCTCAGGTATGGCTTTCAGGCCTGAGGAGAGTCTGCTCACGTACAGGCTACTTGATCTTCTTGTCACCTCTGAGAACAGTAGCTCTGATTTATTGAATGCAGAGGTACAAGATGCAGATACCATTATGTATTAACTCATTTAAGCCTCACAAACACCCTGCGAAGTAGTCGCTATTATCCTCCCCCATCCTACAGATGAAGAAAACTCTGAACTCTTGGCTGTCAAGTTGGAATCAACTCATAGCTGGCCCTCCAGGGGTTTTTCAGAGGCTGTGAATCATACAGGAGGAGACTCCCATCCTTCTGAGGAGTGGCTGCTGGATTCAAACTGCCTGCCTTTCGGTTGGCACCTTGACTCCTTACTCACTAAGACACCAGAGTTCTCTCAGGTGCAGGAAGTAAGGGTCAATGACTTCCCCAACTTCAGTCCCACAGCTATGAAGTGGCAAAGCCAGGCTCACTCTGTAAAGAAATTGGCTCATCTTGGGCCACCTCGATGAAACCTTACCTATCATATCCTTCAAACTCTAGTGACAGGCAGGAGTGTCAGTGCTGTGTCCAGAATTATGTGTCCCAATAATGACCAATGGGTGTGAGGGGAGAGGTTTCCTGGTTAATTGGAGGCTCTGCTGGGCAAGTACCAGCCATTTTCTTAGCAGAGAAGTCGGGGAGATCTCTGGGATGCCCTCATCAGGAAGGGAGTCTATGGTTGAATGTTCTCAGACAAAAATAAAAACAGGCTTCTTACTATAGCAGGTGGTAAACTTGAGAAAATTGTTCCCAAGAGAAGAGGGGTGCAGGTGGAAAATCTAATGAGGCCCAGGGAGGGTTCTTGATACTACATGTCTAACAACATTAAACCTGGAATCCTTGGCTTCAGCTCCGTGCTAAAGATGGGGCTCCCTCTCTATTTTCTATAGGGTACTTGGGGCTTGTGGACAGAGACTGGACATGGGGCCAGGCCCACCCTGGGCCTGAGGGTGGCATTTCCTTTATGCAGTCTCCAGAGCCCTCGCGGCCAGTGAGCAGTGCTGAGCTGAGCTGCAGCGTTAAGCAGGTTAAGCGATTAGTGCCGCTGTTCAGTCAGCAGACAAATTAATCTCCTTAAGTGGTTTAGTGGAGGGTGGAGCTGCGTGGGTCTGCAGGAGGGAGGTCTCTGAGGTCCTCAGCAGGCATGGGGCTCACGCTGGGAAAGCCACTCTCATACAGCCACTCGGCTTCCCCGAGGCCAGCGTGCCCTTCTTCCAGCCCAGGGGCTTCACCATGCACCTCCACCGAGAGGCCAAGCCCTCTGCCACTCTGTCCCCAGTGCCTGGGGCTCAGCAGGTTGTGGACCTGGGTCTCCTGTTCTCCTCTACATGGGGCAAGGCCTGGTTTGTTCTTTGTTCTAACCTGACCCCACTCACTACATACAGAGGGCTTCTTGAGGCCATCACGTCCATTCTGACTCCATGAATTTCCTAGGCCTTGGTCCTTATGGGAGCAGATCTCTAGATTTCTTTCTCCTATGGACGGCTACTGGGTTTGAACCTCTGGGCTTTCTAATAGCAGGCAAGTACTTAGCCCTTGTGTAACCAGAGCTTATTGTGTGCTTATTATTTGGAGAGAAAGGAAGGAATGTGTGGCATGCGCCCCATGCCTGGTTAGGAGCCTGTGCACAAAGTATTAAGAGTCTCTATTATAAGATTCTACTGAAGATTATCCAAAAATGACTGGAACAGCACATCAGCAGAGAACTGCCAGAAGTCCAGGCTGGGTTTAGAAGGGGTCGTGGTACTAGGGATATTGTAGCTGA